ATCCTAAATGTGTCTCCTTTGTGATACCGCTGAGTATTTGGGGTTTCGGTTGGAGATACACGGCTTACATCCGCTACGGGAAAAATTCAGCCCATTCTGGATTTTTCCACACCTCGAAATATTAACGAACTGCAGTCATTCCTTTAGATGGTAACCCGTTACAGTCATTTCTTACTTAATTTGGCTAGTCTTCTCTTACTGTTGTATACCTTGCTTTATAAGAATACCAGATGGATGTGGTCCAATGCACAACAAAAAGTTTACGATGCAGGCAGATTGGCTATCAGTAACGTTAACTTACTAGTGCCTTTTGACTCAAAGGAACCGATCACTCTTCGTTGCGTTGCGTCATCCACAGGACTCAGGGCCCTACTATCACACCAAATGGAAGACTTGATCGAGCGACCAATAGCTTTTGCGTCCAGAAGTTTGGCACCAGCGGAAAAGAACTATACGCGGATCAGCAGGGAAGCTTTGCGGTTATCTTTGGAGTCAAGAAATTTCGCCATCATTGTACACGTTAGCTAGAGGTGGCAAACACCTCAGCTACTGTGCCTCAATACCTAAAAAAGGGAATAAATTGCAACAAGTGCAAGCCAGCCGAGCTACCGGTAACGGATGTGTATCGTGCCGGTAAACTACTAGCTGAGTACTATGCAGCAAAAAAATTACCATGCAAAATTATATAAGGCTAAATAGTGAGATAGTGGTTGGAGTGGGAGGCTAAGAGGGATGCGTTGGGACAAAGAAACTCACAGCACTAACGTCACTGAGGTCGGCTCGTAAACTTATCAACAAGTGCATCCAGCCAAACGTGTTTATCGTCTTTCGGACCCCAACCAGGGAACCGAAACGCTCCAACTGAGGCCAGCTTCGAAGTGAGTACCTTGATTCCTCTCGACCAAGTCATCGTTTGGCCACCTCTCCTCTTCTTCCATCCACCTCCGGCGCGAAAACAACGCACGTCGCGGGAGTCGGTAGGCTGGCATGCGCAACACGCGGCCGAGCCATCGGAGCCTGGTGAGTGAAATAACGGTGTTGAGCGGTTCATTTCCTTTTCCTGTGCCGTAAACAAGGCGTAGAACACGCGCGTTGCTCACGCGGTGTTGCCACCAGATGTGAGCTAAATTGCGAAGGCACCGGTGGTCGAATGTAACTAGCCTCTTTATATCCGTTGAGCTAAGGGGCCAGGTTTCACAACCGTACAGCAGGCTCGAACGTACCGCTGCCTTGTACACTCTAGTTTTAGGGCGAGTGATGTCACGCCGGCGCCATAAGTGGCGAAGGTTAGCAAAAGCGCCTCGAGCTTTTGCTATACGGTTCGTGATCTCATCTTCAATCCCACGGGCACTGATACAACTTCCCAGCTAGTTGAATTTCCAAACGACTTCTAGCTGATCCCCACCAATGGTCTGCACAGGAAGCGGTCCCTGCCAATCTTGCACGAAAGTTTTGCAATTCGAGGGTGCAATGCATAGCGCGAAACGGGGGACAGCCAGTGCTAATCTGTCCAGTGGCGCTTGGCACGTTTGTGAGCTGTCATAACTTAGGGCAATATCATCAGCATTCTCAAAGTCAAGAAGTCGTTCTCCTGGGGGCAGATCCACACCTTCTAGGTCGTATCCTGTGAACGCGATTTCCATGACTTCGTCAATAGCGAAGTTGAAGAGGAAAGATGACAGCGGACATCCTTGTGTCACACCGCTGGAGATATTAAAGGGCAACGACATCTTGCCGTAAGCCCTCACTGCCTGAGGTACGCGCGTATAGTGCTCGGATAATAAGTACATATTTCTCAGGTATACCTTTCCTGAGGAGATAGTCCCAAAGTACATGTCTATCCACCGAATCGAATGCACCTTTGATATCGAGGAATACGACAACAGTGGGCCGCCAATGTATGTGACGGTGCTCCAACAACTGACGCAAAGTGAAGATGTGGTCAATGCAGCCACGACCTCGACCAAACCGGGCTTGCTCTTCACGAATATGGCTTTCACGTGTGGCAGTCAGTCTGTGAAGGATGACAGAGGCAAGCAATTTGGAGGCGATGGAGATCAGACTGATTCCTCTATGGCTGCCGCATTCCGATCGTGAGCCTCCCTTGAAAATTGGGACTATGACGGAGCGGCTCCAATCGGTTGGGACGGTTTCCTGCTCCCAGTTTCACTAGTAACTCGTATAAATCATCCACAAGAGCAGGCCTTCCGAATTTGAAGAGTGCTGGAGGAAGCTCATCTGGTCCCGCGGCTTTATTTAACTTCAACAGTGCGATCTGACGTTCGACTTCTGAGCGAGAGGGTGGATCCAAATGGACAGCCCACGGAGCAAGGCGATCAGTGGTAGAAGAGAAATCTAACAATTCCGACCGATCAAATTGCCTTGCTGACCACAAGCCTCTTTTGGTCCAGATTGGTGGGAAAAAAGGCATAAACCAGATGGCGTCACCTCGTATGTAACATTGGGCTACACTGATCTCCGCTTGCATTTACAAGATTGCCTATGTTCCTGGGTCAGCATATAGAATTGGGGACGCTCTGGGTTTTTTTTACCGTTGAATCACCTACGAGATTGTGTACTTAAACCTGTGGAGTTTGTCCATCTACTGCAGCATTCGGGCGAAAATCTGGTGTCAAATGCAGATATCGGTCAGGAGACTGAACGGGATATATTACTGGCCAAAGTCAAGCATCTAGTCTCTCAAGAATGGCCTGACAGCTGTGAACCGCAACAAATGTCTTACTTTATCCGACACACAGAGCTTAGTTTCGAAGATGGGTGTCTGCTATGGGGATCATGAGTGGTAATACCACCACGGTGGCGACAGAATATCATACAAGAACTGCACGAAACGCATCTAGGAATCACGAGACTGAAGGCAGATTTGCGATCCTATGTGTGGTGGCCTAATATTGACAGAGATATCGAAGAGTTGTTCCGACACTGCGACGTGTGTCAGTGCACTCAGAGGAATGCTACTGAGTCCTTGGGAATGGCTCAGTAAACCTTGGGAACGCATACACACAGACTTCTTTGGACCGTTGGATGGAAAAATGTTTTCTCCTCTTGATTGACGCTTACTCGGAATGGGTGGAAGTTTTTCCACTTACACATGCCACGTCTGAGACGACTGTTTCTTGCTTGCGAACGTGTTTTAGTACCTTCTGTATACTACATACGCTAGTAACAAACAACGATTCCGTATTTACTAGTCAAGAATTTTAAGTTCCTCAAAAGCGACGTCGTGGATCATGTGAAATCAACCCCTACCACCCAGTTTCAAAGGGATTTGCAGAAAGAGCCGTCCAGACGGTCCAGAACGGTTTTACAGAAACGAGCGTCTGCTTCACTGCGAACAATATGGGATAAATTTCTTTTCCGCTACCGCGGTACGCCAAACGAAATTAATGGGAAGAGCCCAGGCGAGTTGTTGCCCGGACAGAGGATGGGGAAACGGCTGGATCTTCTGTTTCCTGACCAGAGACTACGTGGCTAGGCTGAGCAAGATAAATCTAAGAGTACGATCAGAAGGCTTCGGATCGAAGATTCTGCAAATTGCCCAACGAAACTACTTGGCAGCCCGGAGAGTTGCTCGACAACACACGGAGGTGGCTTTATCTGACGGCGGAGTAGTTACTGGGTACCGGGATCACGTCCACTATTGTGCCGTTTCAATTCCGTCAGATGACGTCTCCTCAAACCAGGAAACTAAATTGACGAAGGCGCGGAACTCTCCCAACTCAGGCCAACCAGAGACTCGTCAATGTCGCTCTTCAACTTGGCTACGCCGACCCGTCGATCGATACCAAGCTACCTGGAGTGGTCCAAACTAAAGGGAGAAGGAATGTGGCATCCTAACGGCTAATGTACTGAGCCTTTCCTATTTGTTGCTTTCGTCTACTGGCGTGTGTCAGTAACCTGCGCACCCACCTATCGCTTGCTCTAATTTAGAATGCTAGATCGATGCGTTGTCCAACATGTTGGTCAGAATACAGTTTAGCCTTCTATTTACCTGACGTGTTTTGCTTTGTGATACTTCGGGCAAGAGCAGACTACTGAGCGTTAGTTCCGCAATTACTAAACTGTGACAGTCCCAAAGGGATAAAACGGCCGTATAGTACTTTTCCAGGTGTGTGTGATCGCTGTCTGACTGGGTCTAGATGTGATAAATTGCTATCATTCAACTCCCTCTATTACTCCTTCGTGATGTCCTTTTGGTTTTTTGTTCTCTTATACCATTATTGTTATTATTATTATTATTACTATCATTATTATTATTAATTGATGATAGGGACGAAGTTCACCGCAGTGCGGTACTCAAAGCGTAGTCTTGGAAGTGAACTAAATGTATTCCTAGTTTGATGAACATAATCATCAGGGAGATGACTGTGAATCAGCAGTGTATCACGAATCTTGGTCTGGCGCGATGGCTTCCGTCTTCTTTCCACTTGGTTTTCGAAACAACTTCCATCGCTTCTCTTTTGTTGTTATTTCATAGCTAACGTTTTGCGTTCGTTGGCTTTTCCCGCCGGTGTAATAATAGCTTGTGTTCGAAAATATGTATCGTGCCACAAGCTGGATGAACGTTTAATTTTGAGTCATTACTATTTAGGGGTTACGCTGGTCTCTGCACGACAATAACGTAAAAGTGGGTTGAGAGCGAGCCGCACTGTATCACACCTCGTGACTTAACTATTTCGCTCGGTACCGCCTTCCATAGAGTCACGAGTCTTAATCCTACACTAGGCATACGGAATGCGTATTGCTGACGATTCCCGAAACGTTGAGACATCCATTCGGTGTTTTCTCGTACCTGTGATGGCCGTCCGACTGAATCTAGTGGTGAATTTGTCACGTATTGATCAAGATCTACCCATCTGTTACGAGGCTTAAAATGTACGTCTTGTTATTACACAATTCCTGCCTAATGTTGCCAGTTTGGAAACGTGTCAAAGTCCTCATTTGAATGCTCTCACTTTCCTTTGCGTTTGCCTCGCCAGGTTTATTTGCGAACTCGGAAGAATGTCATCATCGAAGTAAACCCCAAAATTCGCATTCCTCGAACATTCGATCGTTTTTGCGGCCTGATCGTGCAATTGCTTCACAGATTGTCGATTCATGCAGCCACCGGTAGCCATGAAAAACTTCTCAAAGTGGGTCTTATTTGTGATCATTATCTCCTACCGTATCACAGGTTGTCAAAAACCCGGTCACCAGGCACTTCCCTCCGGGCATTCCTATCATTGGTACTTCCTTCTCCGCTGCCGAGTGTGTGAAACCTCGCGCTCTTGTACAAGAGCTCCAGAAGTGCGGTCAGCAGTCAGTGGTGCTTGTCATCGGTGCCATGGCACATGGAAGCATCGTGGACACATGCAAAGAATTCTTGTCCCGAGTGGTTAGTATAAGCAATTTCCCACTCTCCGCCGCACAAACATGTGCCCGGATATGCACCGCTTTCGAAGAAGAGTGGAATATCGAAGAATTTGTCCAACAACAGATTTGTTGACCTGTGTATAGTTGATTTTGTAAATACACCTAGTCGATGTATTTTGCAAATTACTTTCGTCTCGTTTGTTTCAGGTAGGGACCTAACTCACGGTTGATATGGCACTGCTAATTGGGCTGTTACCATTCAAGTGTCACATGTTACGTGCGGTCTCTGTTCCCGGGTTTGTCTGTCAATGCGAATGCGAACAGCCACAGGACGCTTGCACATGGAGACCATTGGTGGACTGTGCTGCACTACTAGCCCGCCGCATATCCACTGTAGACCCGATGGAATACCGTCAAGTAGCATGAGGATAGGAATCACAACTGATTCAGAAACGACCCGCATTACATACTGAAATATGGACATATTCATACGAAATTGGAGGACATATACGTACCAAACGCACACAGGGCAGGGACTGGTTCCTGCTGGAACTCTTAGAAGAAGGTGCACACCGCCTCTGCAGCAAAGATTAGCAGTCTCCTTTAGCTAGTTGTCGAGGTGGAATGTGGTAGACAGGTAGACACCTTGTCAACATTCACATCAAGCGCAACTACTCCCGGGAATATCAAAAAACCAATACATAATTTAAATGAAACTAAACACACGGAATTGGCACAAAATATGCATCAGAGTAATGAAAATGAGCACATCAAATAAACTGTAATTTTATCCAGGTGATGAAGGTTTAATTCAAGTGCAAATCGGTGTGGCCCGATTACGGTGAAGAGGCATGTTGGATACAACATTAACTCTAAAATGAGGCATATATATATATATATATATATATATACGAAGCAAATCTTGTCTATCGCCGAGGCTATTTACATCCATCATCTGAAGCCGGAATTATGCGTACACAAACGATTCATACGGCCGATACTACTACCTTGGCCGACTGACATGGTTTTATTACCCTTTGTGACCTTAGCTATTTGCTTTAGACCCTGAAGCTTGCGTTAATTTCCTTTGATGCACTTTTCCTACCATCTGTAGCCACCTTTAGTCATCGATCTTGACCTTTCAAACACCTGAGAAATCAATCCCAGCCCGATTTAACGCTTACCCCACATAATCCGTGTCATGTAAAAGTTTGGGTCTGACGAGATTTTACCGAAAAGATATCTTAAACCTGAACTGTTTTCTGGTCTTGATTCATTTGATTACAATGGGAATATTCGCTGTGTTGAAAATCAGCATTGCCCGTGATTCTTTGAATATATATATATATATTTATGGGGCGGGCGAGGCTATGGTGCACTGAGGCTGATGGTGGCTAGATCCTCACAGATGGTCTACCCACTGCTGCTACTGTTGTGCCATTGGCTCATGTCCTGGTCGCCTGCTCGTGGCGACCGCTGGGCGGGAGTCGAGTTACGCCTTTCTCCCTGCTATGATCCAGGACACCAATCCGCATGAGTCAGTGAACTGACCATGCGCTAGACCCGCTGCCTTTCGGATGTACATTTAATCTCAGGCTTTGGCTGAGGACCCGAGTCGTTCCCCTGTCAGGTGTGGGCGCCCTGGCAGTATCCTAGTCCATCCTCTTCGGAGGTTAGGAGGTGGTCGATGACCCTCTTCCCGTAAAACCTAGCCGTGGGAGACAACAGGTCTACGGGTTATAAGCTTACAGCTCGTTTGGCGTAGAGCACGAGCGCCACGCATTGTCTCTGACGGTGGGAGAGCACCTCCGGGTGTTCAGTGGTTTGCTACTGCCCGCCTCAAGCCAGGCAGCCCATGGTCAAATTGGTGCAAACCAGTCAAAACCCACCTGCGTCTGGTCGTGGTCGCAGGTGTATCCTACTAGGGTCGCAAAACATATGAATCGTTCCAGTACCTCAAAGACAGCGTGTGACGACCGTCAAGCAGATGGCAATCTGTCTCTGCCCATCGCAATGAGGCTGGACCTTACCGTGGTGCGATGGTTTGCGTGCCTCAGAGATCCATTGAGCTATGCTGGGTGGTGCATTATTTGCACCTTCAGAGCCACTCATGCCAGATTGGTCAATGGTTAGAGGCCAGACAAACTCAGCCTCCTGGTCCTCCAAGTTGGGGGTCGGAATGGGGGTGGCTCCTCATTTCATAAAACGGGCTCTGTAGTCCAGTGCCAAAACCCGCTGCCTTGCGGTAAGGTTTTTGAACCAAAGGCTTTGGTTGAGGACCCTAATCGTTCTCCTGTCAAGGCCTGGACAACCTGACAGTATTCTGCCCACGCAATACAATGAACCTTTCCTACAATACTTTCTTGATGCTCTGGCCGTCGCAGAGGATAATAAACGGCGCCCTATCTGCTGCATCGAGCAGGGTGGATAGGGGTAAGGATGCTACTGCTCAGGCCTTCCCGTCTTCTTATACCCCTTCTTGCGCTTTTTCATCCTTATCGTCCCGCTCCAACTTTACTTATATCCCCCCATTTTCAATCCCCCAGTTCTTGGCCCTCCCCCAGCTTACTTTAGTAGTCGCTTGTCTTCTAATTTCAAATCACACACAATCGCAGGGCTTCGCTCCAATCCAGTCGACAAGTCCATGTTCAACCAAGCGGACAACGTCAGTTCATCCGTTTCCCTTTGGAGTCCTCGCGTCTCGCTAAGATTGGCATGCCTCAACGTGCGCACCTTGCTGCAGATTGGCCAACAGGCAGCACTCGCCCGCACACTAGAGACCCTATCGATCGATATTTGCTGCTTATCAGAAACCCGCCTGCAAGATTCGAGATCCGTGCTTACTCTGCCATCCCCCGAATGCGACACTGGCGGCACATTCTCATTGCGCCTGTCTGGCGATGATGCAGCTTCAAATGCCGGTCAAGCTGGCGTCGGCATTGTTTTGAGTCCCCGGGCTGAAGCTGCCCTGATTGACTGGATCCCAGTAAACAGTAGGATGTGCGCCGTTAGATTAGCTGGTTCGTTCCGTGCTACGAAGTCCTGCGGGGACAAACGTTGCCTGTTTGTCATTGCGGCCTACGCCCCTACAAATGTAGCACTGACTCGGTAAAAGATGATTTCTATCAGCAACTGCACGAGCTCCTTCGTTACAGAAGAAACACGGATACTGTGGTGTTGGCTGGTGATCTAAACGCCCAAGTCGGGAAATTGTCCCCTGATGAGCTTCATCTGGGCGGCCAACATGGTGTGGGCTCCCGTAATGATAATGGTGAGCGATTGCTACAGCTGTGTGAAGATGCTCGCCACTTTCTCGCGCGCACTAACTTTCGACACAGCACCCGCAGAAGTGTGACTTGGCGGCCAGCAGCCTCGGGCCAGCCATGGACGCAAATCGATCATATCGCGATTAGTTACCGCTGGAGAGGCTGTGTCCAAAACGGCCGTTCGATTTGCAGCACGAGCGTGGACTCTGACCACGCACTTGTCTGCGCCGAACTCCGAGTGCGTTTCGGTGGACGTCCGCAACGTCGATGTGAACGGATTGACACCAGCCAGCTGGCGAAGCCAGATGTTCTGAATGTGTACCAAAGTGCGCTGACATCTGGGCTGAGCAGGCGTCCACTAAACACCGTTGAAGATCACTGGTCGCATATTCGTCAAGCGTTGCTGTTAGCAGGTATATCTTCATGTGGCAAAGCAAATTGCCAAACCGGACATTGGGTCTCTACACAGTCTATGGAACTTATGGATGCTCGCCGACGTATTCCGGCTGGAAACGAATACAATGAGGCTCGCAAAAATCTCAGGGCAAAACTACGTGCTAGCCTGAAGAAGGATCGCGAAACCTGGTGGTCTCATCGTGCATCGGAAATGGAAACAGCCGCTGCCGTTGGTAATCATCGTAAGTTATTCCGTCTGATACGGGAAACAGGCAGCAGGAGACCTGGTGTTAGCGAGACCATACGCGACGAGAGTGGGCAGCCGATCCACAGCCTGTCAAAACGCTTGGAGCGTTAGGCTGAACACTTTGCAAGGCAATTTAATCAACCTGAGTTATCGCTTTCTTCTTCGGGCATTGAGCGCCCTTCTCCTTGGGCCGTGTCCTTGGATCCGCCCTCACGTGCAGAAGTGGAACGTGAGATCAGGCTGTTGAAATTGCATAAGGCCGCAGGGGCAGATAGAATTCCCCCAGCCCTCTTCAAATTCGGGGGATCTTATCTAATAGATGATATACACGGGTTGCTAGTAAAACTTTGGGAGCAGGAGACAGTCCCGACAAACTGGAACCGCTCCGTCATTGTCCCAATTTTCAAGGGAGGCTCTCGTTTGGAATGCGGCAACCATAGAGGGATCAGTCTGATTTCGATTGCCTCTAAATTGCTTGCCTCTATCATTCTCCACAGACTGAGTGGCACTCGTGAAAGCCAGATTCGTGAAGAGCAAGCCGGATTTCGTCGAGGTCGGGGCTGCATCGACCACATCTTCACATTGCGTCAAGTGTTGGAGCACCACCATGTTTATTGGCGACCCACCGTTGTCGTGTTTCTTGACATAAAAGGTGCCTTCGACTCAGTCGATCGATGTGCCCTTTGGGACTGTCTGTTGAGGAAAGGTGTGCCTGATAAATATGTAAATATTATCAAAGCGCTGTACGCGCATAGTTCGGGCAGGGTGAGGGTTTATGGCAAACTGTCGCCACCCTTCAGTATCACCAGCGGTGTGAGACAAGGATGGCCGCTGTCGCCTTTCCTCTTCAACTTCGCTATTGATGAAGTCATGGAAACAGCGTTCGCTGGACACGACCTAGAATGTGTGGAGCTACTTCCTGATGAGCGACTTCTTGACTTGGAGTATGCAGACGATATTGCCCTAATCTGTGACAGCTCCCAAACATGCCAAATAGCACTGGACCGATTAGCACTGGTTGTCAATCATTTTGGGCTATGCTTTGCTCCATCGAAATTCAAAGTACTTCTCCAAGATTGGCAGGGCCCCAATCCTGCGCTAACGCTTGGTGATGATCTGCTAGAAGTCGTTCAGGAATTCAAGTACCTGGGCAGCTATATTAGCACCCTTGGGATTGAAGATGAGGTTACGAACCGTATAGCAAAACCTCGAGGTGCTTTTGCCCATCTCCGCCACCTGTGGCGCAGACGCGACATTACTGTCGCCCTGAAGGGCAGAGTTTACAACGCAGCCGTCCGTTCAACTCTCCTATATGGTTGTGAAACCTGGCCCCTCAGGTCGACAGACATGAAGAGGCTCGTCACATTCGATCATCGCTGCCTGCGCAG